CGTGTGTGGAGAGAATGAAACAATATCTGAGCTCTGAATATTGTAAAGCACTTTGGTTGACCTTTGTCTGTAAAAATGTGCTAAATAAATATATAATACTTACTAACTTATTTACTTAAAAGATAACGTAGAAAGGGGAGAAGATAGTGCTCAGGTTACCAGCAAAGTGACTCCATATATGCAGTTTGACTGACAATCTGTATCTTTTTAACTAAAGTTTTATTTCTAAGTCTTACCTAACGAGCCATATGCTGAATTGAAGAGGAATGTTATTTCGAACAAGCTGGAAGCTATTTAATGCTGGATTTAGGGCACACTGCCAGCAGGGCGTTACAATAGTGAAGCCTTGAGGTGACAAATGCTTGGATGCGTTTTAGGAAGGATATTTCTAATTTTGGCTACAGTATGTTGCGTAGATAGATTCGGTTTGGGTTACTTTACAAGTGCCTTGAAGGAGAGTTCTTGGTCAAAAGGACTCCAAGATTCCTTTACAGTGTTGCTAGGGGCCACGGATTATCGAGTGTGATTGATCAGCAAGGGAGTCGCACAGACATTTGGGGCCAAGTTAGATCACTTGTGGTTTTTCCGAGTTGAGGAGCAGACAGTTTTGGTTCGTTTTTAGGTAATTTATGCAGCCGCTTAGCCTTTCTTATTGATCTTTCTGATTTGTTGTCATAAACAAGAGAAGCTGTGTAAACTCTTACAGCTGCTGGATCAAAAATATCTACTTATTTTCTTGCATAAAAGTATCTTAATGCCCCTTGAAAAACAATCTTTCATAATACTTTTGAGATTGTAATGTAACATGACAATAATGACTGTAATAGATCTGCTTGACATTCACTAAGATCAAAAAAGCATAGCATTAATCACAATACAGAAATGTCTACAAATGGATAGATCATAATCAGATCAAATATGTTTTCTCCTAAGATTGACTATGTTTCTGTGCGTTGTTAATAAAGAGAAACAGAAGCTTATTTGTTATTGAGTCAGTACATGTACATGACAAGTTGTCTATTGCTGTCATTTTATTTTGTTGCGTTTTGGTTTGTTTTATGTTTGAGACTTAATTGTGTGAAACTGAATCTCTGAAGATGCACTCACCTTTGAACCTCTGCAGTTGTATTGATCTCACTCAAACAGTTGTAAGCGAAGAATGGGCTCTACAATTAGGTTTGGTGGAAGAATGAAACTCAAGCACATTTATGATGATGGACACTGGAGCCGTGCAGTCTGGACATAGCAAAATTATGAATTCTAAAGCTGTAGATTAGGAGTTAGAGCAGGCTTTACTGTTCATAGGAACTTCCTAATCAGATTTCTATTTGTAATCACATCATACCAACGGAGGAATACTGAGGTGAGTTGGAGCATATATGGAATTGTCAAGAGTGTTTTTGACATACTACTGGCATGTGCACAGGCATTCCAACATGGTTTTTACCTACTGGCCAATAAACCAAATCTTGTTTTCTATCTCAGATCAGAATATTTTATTCTAATATTTGATCCTCCTGCAGGTGGTGGGTCCACAGTGCTCCTGGTCTCACCACCTGCAGGAGGATCATCAGGGGCTGGTGCTCTGTGAACTGGGGGCAGCTCTGACTTTGTTCTTTATTCATTAACACAGGTAAAAAAACCTCAAAGAGAAATAGACAAAGCATTCGTAAATATACATGTAAATCAAAATATTCCTTTTAACAATTTAATCTAGTGTTTTGATATTTTAACAAAAGTGTTTCCGTACCATTTTTACTTTCTAGAAACAAATAATATATTTATTGGCTTCAATACATTTTAACATTAATCTTTTAACTATCATAACTAATTACATCATACCAGATTTTAATCAACAAATGCTCTGTAGTTTTAACATTCTAAACAACAACAGTAATTTCATACATTGTACATTGACACATAGCGGTGTCCTTCCTGGTTTTGTAGGGAGTGAATTTGTGCAGTTTTTACTGGCTTCTTTGAGGATGGTTTTAACAAAGATCTTTGCTTTGGAAGGAGCACATTAGACCCTTTCAGTCCTTGGTTCTGTCTCTGAATGAGTGAGAGTCCAGAGTTGAACCTGTTTGGGCAGGGAGAGTAAGTACAGGATAGCTCCTTGGGAGCAATGTATTAATTATCTCAAATTACAAGGATTGTTTTGACAAAACAGCAACAATGAGAAGTTTTTTGAGAAAATTAGAACTTAATTGAAAAATGTAAGCAAAAAAACTAACTGTTTCCACCTTACTTTACAATGTTGAATTAATTAAGTCAATTAAGAGAAACTAGTTTTTGACAGATAATTTACTACATCATTTAAATCCAACATGACAGAGTTATGCGGGAAAGATTGCTCAACGTTACTCAGTTACTTTTCAAATTGTGAAGAGAATTACATTTATTGAAGACAAGTTAGTCCTACCCACGCTCACTGATGCAGCTTCCCAAATAATCAAAATAAGATGAATCAATTAAATCATAAATGAGGGTTTTAACTATTCTTCTCCAGCAAATCTTCCTGGTCGTAGTACAGTGCTCCATGGTCAGAAATAATTTTTCAACTAAATGTATTGTATTTTGTTGCTGACATCACCATTTAGTTTATCAAGTAAATCCAACACTATTTGTTAGAGTGTGGTATTACAGTGTCATGCAGTAAGCTCGATGGTCATGAGAAAAGACACCAGGACATGACTGAGCAGGAGGTAAATGCCATGCCTTTATTTCAGTGTAGTCACAACTGTCAGAACCAAACTCTTCACACAAACAAACCCATTACATCAAACTATATATTATAATCTTCTATTTGAATATACTTTCAGTGATCCTAGATCCAGCCTGAGTGCATCATAATCTTTAATCAACATTACAGCTTTGCCATCACATTTTCTGTACATTTGAACAGTGCTTATGCATATTAACAAGGGATGCAATCAAAACCTGTGCACCATCTCCCATTGTCCTCTTCAAGTTCATTAGGAGCTCATTTCCTATCCCACAGTGCAAATTATGGCACCAAAACAAGTGGGTCCCTACCTCGAACACAGCTACAAACAAGCACTCGCCCCTTTATGGCAGTATATATACATCACAGAGAGGGTTAACTTCCATTAGCATCCATTCACAGTTAGTACTCCAGAAGAACAGGGCGTGGCAGAGGAATAAATATAACTTTATAATGCGTTTTCACTTATACCGACATGAAGAGCATTTCTTACGATACCATGTATAGCTTTCATTTGTGTGAACTGTAGCGGCAACAGTGATGTAATGTCCAGAAGGCTTGGCAAAGTGTGAATACCTGGCTTTGTGAAGAGGTTTAAAGGGATTGCGTGGTGTGGGGTAGATGGGAACAACAAAAGAGCTGGAAGAAGCAGACAGGAAATACAAATGCTAATGAAACCTGTGGACATACATAATCATGCATGGTTTACAGACCTATGACACAGTTTTGTTACAATCCAGTGAAAAGAGGGAAAAAAAAGTTCAGTTATGTAAACTGTAAAGTGTAATTCTGTAAAGTCCCAATAAATATGGCTACACAATATATGCACAAAATATCATCATGGCCATAATTTCAAATGTGATATCCGTATCTCGATGATGTGCAATAACGTAAGAGTTTTTCATTTGTGAGAATCATGCGTTTCTTTCTCTCATCTGCTCATTTTTACCGTGATCAGTCAGAAGCAATCTTAAATGCACACCCTCGAACAAGCAGCTTTGTAAACTTACAAAAATTACAATGTATTTAACCTACAATGCAAAGACATTTCATCAAATTTAGAAAATATATTTTATATGTTTAATGCTAAGATCATTTCTTTGGATAATATAATGAATATTTTATTGACAGTAGCTCAGTTGGTAGAGCATCGGCCTTTGGGCCTGAAAGTCGTGGGTTCAAATCCACCATGAGACCCACTTCACGACTCCCACTGATGACTGCTGTCGTTGTGTCCTTGGGCAAGACACTTAACCCAACTTTGTCTGAAGCCCCCACTGTAAGATCTCAGCTCCTGTGGACTCACCACCTGCAGGAGGATCAGTGAGGGGCTGGTGCTCTGTGTACCGACCCAGAAATGGATTAAGGGGAAGAAAATGGATGGATGGATGGATTTTATTGACGCCTTTTTTCCAATATTGTACAGCTTTTTGCATATTATGCTGTAAATAAACACATAGTTTATTCCAGTCCCTGTTGCAAATATATTTTGAATTGTCAATAAAACTGTGCGTAAGGTTTTTGTGGGATGTTGAAAACAAGGGGTTTGCGGGGAAAAAAAGCTAAAAAGATGGTAGCTACAGGGTGGATATCGCCTCTGGATCTTTCCACGGCGCCGAGGAGAGCTCCATCAATGTCTGATCAATCAAAAATATCAGCTTTTTTAAAATTCTTATTCTTAGTTATTAAGCCTGTTTTTTTACTTTCAGTCCTGGACGTGTTTAGGGGTTACATGAGAAAATATATTGTTATAAATATGCAACTGTATGGGTAATTTCCTTATGGGCACTTGAAATCAGCATAAACCATAGTGTAAAAAAAAAAAAACATTTTCTGTCTGCTTCTACAAGAAAATAATACTTTTAAAGACGGGTCAAAACATTAATTACAACAAGGTCAAATAACAGAAAAGATGTGTATACAGAGTCTTGATTAGGCCAGCACCTAAAAAGACGCACATTTACAAAGCAGAAGGAGCGCATAAATATTATAATAGAGCTGTGTTGGTCTACAGCTCCAGCAGCAGCAGTGAAGGACATATGGGTGATTGTCTGGTCCCTCTCTTCTCCCTCTTCTCACATGGCTGCTGTCTTCCCTTTCGTCATTTGTATGTTAGCAATGTGTGGAGGAAGAAAATGAGTCTCTCGAAAAACCCAGATACGTTTTCCCAGGCACGGTTCTCAGCGATGTGTTCATGGCCTTCGTCCCAGTCTGGTCAAACATTGTGGGTTGGATTTCCCTCCAGCTCCATTGACTTGGCAACAGGGCCCCAGGACTATAGAGGCATCCGGATGTGCATGGCAGAGCTGTTGGGGCGCGCGGCCAGGATGTAGATGGCACTGTCCTTGAGGAAGTCTGCCCAGGTTACAGGCCTGTGGAGAGAAGGCAAATGGGAATGAGGAGAGGGGACCATTGTGAGGAAGAAAGCAATGTATAGCTTGGGTCCATTACAAAAGTGAAAATGATTTGAGTATAGGCTTTAGCTCAGGCGTTTCAAACCCAGCCCTGTGGGCCAAATCCGGGCTGCGAGACAATAAGTGGCCCCTGAAATGATTTTCAACGATCTTTATTGCAGTAACTTGCAGCATTGATGGTAAGAGCATGGCATGTATACTTAATTTTAAAACCTTTTGTCTTGAGAAAACAACCATATAATTAAATCTGTTCAAAAATGTTGTAATGAAAATTAACTTACTAGTTACTAATTTTTCTATGTTTTTTATGTTTTTTATTTTTTTTACTATCAGTCTTTCAAAACATCTCTTATTGATTTTTTGGCCCAGTTGTGGTTCATTCCAGACCTACAGTATTAGAAAATAATGTCAAAACTCATGTCAAATGCAGTGATTTTCTCAAACAAAATGAGTTCGACCCCCCTGTTTTACTCTTCTCTCTGGTAGGGAGTTAGACAGAAATCCTTTTTGCCCTTCATACTTGTTTCACCAAACTGTATTTGGTTTTAGACATTTTACTCTCTAAGATTATTTCACATTCTAACATTTTACCTAAATAGATTCATACGTGTTACCTTTTAGTAACAACTTATGAAAATTAACATAGGGAGAAGGAGTCTTGTTGTTGACTATTTGCTTTGTCTTGTATTTTTTGTTCTTATTCTGTTTTTTTATTCAATTTTTTTTTTTTGGAAAATGTACATGCTTCTAAAAAAGAGCTACTTAGTTTAGAAAAATGTAGATAGGAGGAGCCCTGTGAGTCAGAACTTGACGTTTTTGGGCTGTGAGCTGATTGGCTGAGTGCGGGTGGTCCCCTCTTGCTGATCGAAAGATGTGAAAGAGGCCAAATAATACATGAAATACGTAAAACCACTGATAGATCCAAACGATTAACAGTTTTAACTCGAACACAAAGCAGGCAAAGAGAGACAGGGTTTTATCTGCAGATTGGACTAAAATGCGGAGAAACATTCTGTATAGACATTCTGTATAGACACATTTGAATAACTCTGCGGTGGATTTATTTACAGATCATTCCTGCAGTAAACATCATATTTCAGGTCAGTACAGGACACAGACAGAGCTGTCTAACATCAGAGCTGCAGCTGTGATGTTATCGGGTTGAAAAGTTGTGTTTTCAAATATGTGCATTTTCAGCCACTGTAAACAGCAGATGTGTATGGATGAGACACTGGATTGAAATACCGGCAAGTGTTCAATCAATCTGAATTTGACTGGGTGCATGTGGACAGGGCCAAAGACTTGTGGGTTCTCACGTTGTCCTATGGAAGCAGATGTGAAAGTCTGCAGTTGACTCACTTCATTTGAGATTAGGACTGCTGCATTTGCTTCTGAATCAAGTCGCCAAATAATTATGGTAACAATTATTGTCCTATCTGGGTTTAGGACAAAAGCTGGTGCTCTGAAAGCTATTTTTTTTCATCTCATTCATTCAGTCATTCATTTTTTACCCCTTTTTTAGTCCATTTCCTGATTGTTTTCATATCAAGAAAGGTAATATGTATCTTACTGTGTGTGTTTTTTGTTTCTTTTTTTTCTTCATTACTTCAATTTCATTCTACAGTGTTTGTGATGCATTGAGATTTATTAAAGTATTGCTACCCACCGCAGCAATACATGTATAAAAGAAAGCACATTTTTTTGAGCAATCACATTGTGGGTTAGCTGAGCATTTAAAAATATAACATTTTGGTGTGAAGCAACAGGGACGTTCTGAAAAAAGTAGATAAACGGCAGAGAAGCTGCATGTAATTACTTAGATTAGAGCTTTCCTCATGTTAAAAAGCCATTGAATTAATTTCTTGCCAAAATTGTGATATGATTGAAAAGCTGGAGCTATAACCCAGTAAATATAAGGTGGAAAAAGCTGAAAAAATGGACTAACGAAGTCTTTTTAAAAGAAAGGGATGAACGGTTTTAGTGTGAGCATATTTTTAATTTAAACCAACACGTCTTTTCCATCCATCCATGTTCTTCCGCTTTATCTGTTGCCGGGCCATGGAGGCAGCAGTCTAAGCAGAAACACCCAGACTATCAATCCCAAGATCCCGGCGATTCAAATGAATGGCTAGTGCTCAGAATCGCATGGGACCTACATGGGCACCGAGATACGTGTAAGCGGAACTCACCCATATTTGGGGATTGTCTGGTCCTCCCGGTTCTGTGCAGTGGACGAGCTCCCATGATGCTTTTTGCCAAATAAACGTGTGTGGCTCTCATGCACGTGCACAGAGGGGCTCGGCCGCGCTTTGACCAATCAGAGCTGCTGATCAGAACAGAGCTAAATCCGATTTTCTCCGAAAGAGACTCTAAAATCCCCAAAAAATCCGACCTTTATGAAAGCTGTAGGCTCTCTGTCAGCTGAGGTCATGCTGTTTTAATTTATAGTGAGTTCTATGGGACTTTTTTCTGGGTAGCCGTGTGAATTTAGTCTGCAGTACCACGGGCGCCCCCTGTGCCCATGGGTGGGAAAGCTACAAGCTAGTAATACCCTATCCAGTTATTATGTCCAATCCACACACACTTCCTCTTTCTGAGAGACATTTAGTCCCTCCAACATGTCCTTGGTGTTTTCCCGGAGTCTCCTATGACATGGTATGAACACTCGCCCCATTGTCTTCTCACAGTATAAAATCAAATTAAATATTCTTGCTATGCTAACATAAAATAATCAATCAACCAACACGAGTGCCTACCTAACCGCTGGGGTTTGGATTTACTGGTAGTGAACAGCCTAAAATGAAATCAAGCGGAATTAGTCATTAACGTCCACGAATGAAAGCTCTAATTACATTTGTGAAGCAGCGTGAGGCAAATGAGCACAGAGTTTATTTAGTATCGCATTGAAAGAAGGAATAATTGTGCTTTGTGATGATTTGCTTGTTAGCTATATGCACAATAACAGATCGCTTATCTACAAAAAGCTCTTTTTTTAATCTAGCACCTCAAGTGATTGCGGCGTAATGTGTTTTTCACTTTAATGGCATCAAGGTCAAACGGGTTAAGCTCTTTGAGATGTGTTTTAATTTACTTTCTGGGATTAAAACTAGAAAACTTAGGGATCCGCTCCTCCAGACGGACAGGCTTTCTCATATGGGTCTCCCTCCCTGGGGGTTTCCCTAGTTCTCCCCAAGGTTTCTCACTTTTTCCCACTGGGTTTTTTAAGAGTTTTTCCTTGTCGATGCAGGAGGGTCTTGTTACAGTTAGTGTCCAACAGAAAGGATTGGTGATGATCAGGACACTTTAGCATTCTACAACATGTATGGACATTTTCTTCTGTGTGTGCTTTATATTCTTCATGTGTTTTAACTGTTGATTCTCTGACCTGTGTTGGTGATTTCAATGGTTTTGTTAAGTCTCTGAGATGACTTCTGTTGTGACCGAGGGCTATACAAGAATACATTGTATTGTATTGTATTGTATTTCTAAGGGTCCCTGCTTAACTCCATGGAGATACTATGGCATTCCATTTAAAGAGACAGTATTGATTCATATTTTGATTTAGAACTACATCTACATCTTTTAAACGTGTCTGATTTGTAAATAGTTTTGTAGTATTTACAGCTTGCTAAGAAACATAGCAGCTACTTTATTTTGTGTGCTCCCTGTACGTTCTTACATCTGTCCTGCATGTACGCTGCAACATTGAAATTTCCCCACTGTGGTACGAATAAAAGGATTTCTTATCTTATCTTAACATGTAAAGATCATATCTGACCTGTTCTGAACAAAAGTTTAGTGGAGTTATTCTTACTTAAAAATGCAATGGATAAAATACCCATAATATTTAGGTTTGCCAGTTTGCTAGGTGACATGTAGCTGGTTTTAGCTTATTCTTCCTCTTTTTTTACAAAATTCACAAACAAAAACAAATTTCTACAGAATACACAGAGTTTGTGGATTGCATCAGTAATCAGTGTTTAAGAGCTACATGTGTCACAAGCAGGAAGATTCTGTAACTGTAAAACATTAATGGACAACTAAGAGTGCATATTACATACTGTCCCCTCACTCTCCCTTTTTGCAACTTTTTTGTTTTACTTTACAAATAAATGTCAGTTTAAACGCTTAAATAGGTGCATTTCTACAAACACATGTCTGCTCCATTTGCCAAAGTAACAGAACTCACGCTCTGAAGGGTCCATCATATACAGTTGATGTATGGTGCTAACAAGATTAAAGAATTTTTTTATCACCAGATTCACCCAGAAATTGTGTTCCGACCAAAGAACATATATATAGAGGACCCACACCAGGTACATTTGATCCATGTTTCATCCATTTTAAGCAGAAGAGATACCTGTTGTCGTCTGTCTTGCTCCTGTCGCTGCCTGAGCTGGCTGGACTGCTCTCACAAATGGGTCCAACGTGACTGATACTGAAAAAAACAAAACACACAACACATATGACACACAAAATGACGGCTACAAACAGATTTACATCTTGCCTTGAAAGCAGACGCTAAATTATCCCCTCATTTCCACATCTTAGTAAATACACCATTACCAAGAAAACCAAAATGACTGATAGATCATCATCTGTAGACTTTGATTTTTGCTCCTTTTGATATTTATATTCCATTTGCAGCTCCCCGTTTTCAAAGCTTTCTCTGATCTCTTTAATTACCCTGCTCTACCTGTGTGCAATTCCTTCATTTTAAGTGAAAAATCTGCTCGCTTTTAAAGGCTGTTTTCTTGATTTGATTGGCATAAAAAGCAAATACAGTGCCTTGCGAAAGTGATAATGCAACTTTAATTTTTGCATTAGAGAATGTATCTGTAGAAAGTATAGTTTGCTTAATTTTAAGTGTAAAATACTGCATTTTTTATTGGAAATGTATGTAAAAGATACGGTATTTTGACAGATTTTGTAAAATAGTTAATAAACGTCAAAAAAACAATGATTTCCTTTAAATCAATTTACATACTTTTTCTGTCGGTAAATTACATTAATTTACTGTATACTTTACTGACTTTTTTAACAGTGCAACTTTTTCGTCTTTTTAATGAGGATTCTCTTTCAAATGAGAAAATCCTGTATCATTTTGCTTTAAAAAACAGCAAAATGAGATAGGAAGAAAGTGCAGTATGAGGAGCCATGCAAGTCGCACTCACCCACAGAACATAGGAGTGCAGATCGCCATGAATCTGAGGCGGTGAGGGTGATAGGGTGGGGAGGGTAAAGGAATGGAAAGTACAAACACATTATTGACACAAAACGTGAATGAGCGGCTTAAACATACACTTTGTAACTTCCAGGACGCACGATGAGTTTAAAGGGTTTCTTGTATGTTTGACTTAATCGGCTGAGACAAGCTGTTGTAAATTATAGATTTGCGAAGGAGGTTGAAGTTGAAAAATATGCAAGAAGAAACAGGTTCGCTGGTTACATCACAAAAAGGAAAATGAATGTAAAGTTTTGGAATAATTACATTTTTAACATAATTTTGTATCATTCCATCTGTAGTTTTTGCATGATCCTGCCATCACATACACACACAAACACACATACAGACATTACCCTTTTCTTGGGTTTCATATGACGTCAGGGCAGTAGCGCGAATAACAAACGTAGGATAGGACGTGACGTATCCTGGCGGTGCAGTCTGCCGGGTTTATACACGGAGATATAGTAGAAGAAGAAGCGCTGTCAAAATGCCATCTTTTTGTGCGGTGTACGCTTGTAGCAACCGCACAAATAGAGAGAAAGACAAGAGTTTCTTCTGTGTTCCAACTGTGGTCTCATATAAAGGAGGACACTTTGAAAAAAATCACTCGAATGAGGCGAGCGAGGTGGATCAAGGCTTTCCCAGATAAGCGCCCCCTGCAGGCCACCCGAATGAAACGCAGCAATTTCTTCTGTTTTTCTTTCCAAAAAAGCCCGAAATCAAGACTCTTTTGAGAAATATTTTTTAGTACTCTCTTAGAATTGAGTGTCCCCGATAAAGACTGGTACAACAACCGTACACTGCACAGGAGGAGAGCCTTTGACTCCAAAACAGACACGATTTACATGGTTTTCAATGGGAGAAAAACTGAGTTGTCCCACCTCTGCTCATTCGCCCCCTACTGGCCAGTTTAATGAAACCCAAAAATACATTTCTGTAAGTCTTTTTACTTAGTTTGCAACAAGAGATCCAGTTTGTGATGTCAGGAAGTAAATTGTAAAACTGTTTCAATTTTCAATTCATTTGTTTTGTATATCGCAATAGCAGTTGTTTCTTAGGACTTTACACAATTGTAGATTCACCAAAAACAGATCAGAGAATCAAACAGTTTGAACTCAAGACATGCAACAAGAACAAACACACAGGAGCCATTGGTCCCTAGGGCGACAATGACCAACGTCCATAAATGTTCAAAGTCTATGTGTAGAATCCAGTTTTAAAGATATTCTCCTGAAATTGAGTTTAGTAAAAGCAGTTGAGTAGAATGTAAGCAATCACATATTTTGTTGACAAGAAAGTGCATGGGCGGCACGGTGGCTGAGTGGATAGCACTCTCGCCTCTCAGCAAGAAGGTCCTGGGTTCGAATCCCGGCCGGACCAGGGCCTTTCTGAGTGGAGTTTGCATGTTCTCCCCGTGTCTGCGTAGGTTTCCTCCGGGTACTCCGGTTTCCCCTACCACTAAAAATATGTACAATATAGGTCTGGCATGCGCCTCCTGTTCGGCGACCCCGCTCCCATCTCTGTGTGGAGTGAGTGGACAAGTGCCCAAAAAATAACAATTGTAAACCGCTTTGTGACTCTGGTCTGTGAAAGGCGGTATATAAATAAAGCTTACTTACTACTTACTTACATGGAGGACAGCTTGACCAGAGAGGTTACACAGTGCACCTTTAAGTACGGTTACAGAGACATATGCACAGCAGAAGTGACAGAATGATGGATAAACTCAACGAATGTATGAATCATGGACACAACAACAGATGTTTTTTTCTTCTGCAGGCACGAGTTCTTTTTACCGTGTGGAAATTCTGTTTTCAACTCTGGATAACAGTGGGAAAGATTGCCATGTTGTTTGAACTTGTGTGGGTTTTTCTCCACAGGGAAGTACAAAGTAAGTCTTATAAAATCACAGCGCAGTGAACCTAGGGCTACAAAAAGTTTAGCATCCACATTAAGCAATTTCAACTTTTTTTTCCCATGCAAAAGCCCAAACTTTGAAGATAAGAGCTTGACCGCTGTTTATCTTGCAACATATTGTCCCTTTTGTGACTAACCTTCTTCATCTTACCCACATAAAGTTATAAAACAGTTGGCTCTATTGCTCTGTCAGAGGATTCACACTCAACACACCTTGGCAAAAAACGCTTACCTCACGAGGCTGGTTGAATGCAGATCTGTTTTGACACACCAGCCCATGTTACTCACTCTGTTTTTTGGCTGAAATCAACATGTTTTTGCTCAGGGGAATTAATCAATTCCCCCGCTGAGAGATCAAGGCTATGCTCACATTGAGAGAGCAGCCATCCTCCTGTGGACTCACCACCTGCAGAGGATCAGTGAGGGGCTGGTGCTATGTGACTTGGGTGGCATCTCTGACTGCCACCCCCCCAACCCAGAAATGGATTAAGGGGTAGAAAATGGATGGATGGATGGATGGAATTAATCAATAATTGGTAATAATATGAATCTCTTGCTCTATTACTACGACAATATTAATGCTGCCGATCATTCCGAATTGTATCTTTATGAGGCTATTTCTGCTCATGCTGCTACTATCATCACCAATAACTCCTGCTATCGCTAATTTTCAATGTTACTACTAGTACTTATCATCCTTGTCCAAGCAGAATTACAGTTTCTAATACCACTTCTGCTGGTGCTATTGGAGATGTCTTTTACTGCTGTTTTTATAATTCTCTTGGCAATAATTCTGGCCATATACAATTGAATAGCTGACACAGCATATCGTGGCGCCACCTGCATGTGGTATCTAGATTATGTAGAGAGATCAGTGAGAGGCTGTTGCTCTGTCAATTGGGTGCAGTTCTGACCCCCACCCCTCCACCCAGAAATGGATTAAAGGGGAAAAAATGAATGGGTGGATGGAGGGTCACAGTGGCTACATCTATTTTTCTTTTCTTCATAGATAAAGGAAAACTTATCAAAATGGGTCATGACAAACATATTTTGAATTACAAAATATTACTAGACTCAGCCGCCTGGAGCCATTTGAAAATAATTTTATGAAAGCGCTCTGTGAGACCCTGGTCCTTGAAAAGCGCAATTTAAGTAAAGATAACATACCTACTTAATTAATGTCCTACCTTGCTTCAAAAACTGTCTCGTGAAGTGGGGGAAAAGCTATTTCACCTTGGATACTAACAGCTCTTCTTCAAAAGGTGGTCTCGCTGAATGAACTGTCGAATGCAGCCGAGTGAAAGATTCATGGTTCAATATGAAAACGTACAAACCAGGGCTTTTATACATCACTCAGTATCTTTCGTCTTTGACATGGAACATCTTCTCTTCAGCCTTTGACAAAGCAGTAAGTAAAGATTTGCAGGTAAGACGTAAATGTTGGGTTCATGTTTTGTGCACATTCTTTTTTGCCAAGACAGGAACAAAGAACAAACAAGTCTATTTTGAGAACGTGGATTTCAAAGTGGATTTCAGTCCTTGAAGAACATTTCTAATATAGATTTCAAACCAGCCATCGGCAATGACAACGGCACGAAAACAGAAGACTAAAAATAGGAATCCAGCACTGGAGGCAAAGTAATTCAAAATGTGTTGAATCAGTCTTGATGCATTAACCTAATATTGTCTGGTATAGACGAAAATAATACTTTATATTCTTCGAAAAAGACAAGACGAATCTTCCTAAACTATGCATTGAATCAGGTTTTAATATATTCATCAGGTAATTATAATGTAAATGTGTGTTAATTGTGATGTTTGATAGCTTTCATTATAGGTATTTTAACAAGCACTTGAACTAAGACACAGACAATTGTAATGCTTTTGTTTTGCAGCCAAACCGTGGATAATGTTTTTTTGCAGCAGAATTGTGCTTCCAATTAATGGGAGAAAACAGCATGACCTCATATCCAACTGTTTTCTGTCTTTTTTTCCCTCCAAAACTTACTAATCACAGCAGAATTGTTTTGCAGTTGATACAGTAGTTATAGAGAAGCAAAAAACAACTGTTTCTTAAATGTAATTGGTTTGGAAAACACTGGCTGTCTGGTTAAAATCTGAACAAATGAGAGTTGTAAAATGTAAATATGTAGTTAATGGTTTCAATTATTCTACAAATGTAGCTCAAATAATTGCCATCAATGGAAAAACAATGCTTTATTGCATCTGTGTATCTATTTTCTTAGTTGTGTGAATATTTGTCCATTTTTGTTTTGACTTTTAAAAATGTCTGATTTCAAAGTGCTTGTCGTAAACCCACATGTGTTTGTTGTATGCAAAAAGTAAAATGTCTCTTTTTTTTACACGTGCAGCTGTCACCTGGGACAACAGAACAGTGGTGTACAGCTTTTTTTAATCTGCTATTGGTGAATGTGAAAAACGTCATGATATTATTTGCATAGTTATAAAAACAGTCTTGTGTGTGAAGATAGATCCTAGCATGGCTCCCATACCGAATAGACTTATCATGCACATTGACAGTATCTGTGTCTGTAATCTTCTCTTGTGAAATTGTGTGTGTACAGGTTTTGAAACATTTGGATTGATTGTATTTCTTGAATGGCACTGACCTGACGTTGCAGGATTGCGAGTCCTCGGTGCCCTTCTGGAACCAGGACTGCTGAGCCTGGCGGCACTCGGCTCGAGTGATCACTCCGTCTTTGTCCAGACTCATAAAAACTGAGCGTGCCTTGTCCCGCTCTTTCCCTGTCAGCAGACGCACCAAAGAGTTCTGCAAAACAAAACATATACACACACGCATTTATTGACCGTTTTTCTCACATGTAAGTATCAGCTTTGAAACCACAAAATGAAACAACTATGCAAACATTTCCATTTCAAAGGTATATAGGAGGATTTTTTACTTCCGGGTGGATTAGCAAGATTGGTCCTATAAAAAGTGGAAGGGGCGGTTCTTTCCTAAAAATTGTGAAAATCCTCCTACATACCTTTGACTTGTTCCTAGCTCTTAACACAAGTTCCATAACTAGTTTTTGCATTCATGTACAGTATGTTTGCCTTTTGTCACATCTTCGGATCAGATTTTGTGGTCTGTTTCCTTCACATTTTACATTTACTCGAATATTTGTTGGGAAATATGTTATTTAGGAGGGTAAAAAATAGGTACCCCAGCTTTAACTGACAAGAATACATGATAATAATGGAATTAAATACACTCACTCAAACTTTTCTATTACAATAACTGGAAAAATCCCGGACATTATAATTGAGGACGATTTTCCTCTTTTAAATTTTCAATGATTATAATTCCGTGCAGGTATTTCGAGGGCTTAATCACTCTCAATCACATTAGTGCTGCCATGCAAACTAATCTCTCGCCGCTCTTTTACCTCCGTTTATCCCCAGAGTTCACACATCTAATATCACTGGCCAAAAAAATACACGTTTTACTGCGGTCACTAGACGAGAAAAAGCAGTCACTTGGAGAGAAAACTATAAAAACTAGAGCATGTAATCTTAGTGGTAATGGTCCGTGATCCAGAATATGTTGGATAATGCGGGCCAAAGAGTTCAATATACACAGTTAGTTTACATCATGTATGGTTTTTTACATTTTTGTCCTTATTCTGGGCATGTCCCCAGACGAAGACAGAGGACACAGGGGAGGGAATAGTCCTTCTCTAATTCAGAACAACAGATTTGATTCATCAACACACCGATCAGAGAATCAAACACTTAACGATCACATAGAAGTCATTGGTCAGCGGGATGACCACTGTCCCGCAAATACATACATTTCAATAATGTTAATAAACGGGCATACATGTCCTTGAAATGATGTTAAACCAGTGCTAGTTTTTAATTATTTATTTATGCATTTGATATGGACACAAAAGTTACATTGGACAAACCAGATGCACTGCCTTTAGTGTTATACATTAGCGAGACCATGCTAATTTTCAACACTATTTATTATTGTATCTGCTTGACTCTCAACTGGCCTGGGAATGCATGGGATTCACGTGGATGTGCAGGAGAAAGTGTGGATAGGAAAGTCTGGGCAATGGAGAGAAAATTACACTCATACTGTATATTCTCAATGTATTTAAATAGGTCTCTCATTACGTTGTGCTGTCTATGTTGATTTGCAAATAATCCAAATTCTTGTCTATTCTGCTAATCCATGTAAACTCGAACTGTTTGCAAATATAGAAGATTACATGGTATTTCTGGGTTTCATGCAGACATTTACATATGAAACGATTTCAAACACACCCAATATGCAAATGTGTAAACAGTATTATCCGCTATGATTTAATTCAAGCCTGGGTTAATTGTTTATATGCATAACTTAACTATAATCGTTTCCAATTTGTGAGTATGCAGGGAAAAATATGAAACTTAATTATAAACAAATGAAGCCACCAGGCTGAAGAGAAATTCAGTTATCTGGCGCCTTTTGACAAGTTGATGGTTGTCGTGCAAGTCTGACCTCACGGCAAGAGGGTCCTGAGTTGTAAAATCGTGTGCTTGTATATGGTTAGCAGAGTTTAATTATGCATATGTGGTGTAGCTGCATATTTTCAATCCAACCAAGCAGGAGCGCACTAGACTCCCATTTCCTCAAGTGAGTCAAGTCTTATGAACTTGAAGACTTGAGGAAATGGGTGGAGTTTGGTGTGCTCCTGTTTGGTCCCAATAAATCCCTGAAGCCATGTTGGCCCTTTCTGTATAAAATTGGCCACCCCTTGCATATATAAAAATACAAATGCATTTTTTCTTAATCTGGTGTCTGTTATTGTTCCATTCAAAGTACCAAATACCTATTACAAAAAACAGTAAAAGGCCGTTCTGACCTGAGAATGCTAAAAAATGCTATGTCCAAATGTGTTCAACTTTTGGTTTTCGCTTTCATACTTGTGCCAATACATTATGCCATAGCAACAAGCCTCATAGCAACCACTTCTTAATGTTGTCAGTATAGGTCAGAGCCTCAGAAATAGATGACATAGTTTTGTATGAGATGAAATAAGATGAAAGACAGATGCCAGATGGCACAGAATCCCAGACGGCTCATGGTGTAATCTAGAAATATTACCACTATCACATACAAGAGGGAATTGCTTGTGGTTTGAGTGAGTTTCATCTTTGTTTGTCGTATATGTGTATGTAATAGTACCGCCACACAAACTTGCCAGTGTGGCTGCAGGATTTCATCCCAACCAAGCAGGAGCACATCAAACCATCCATCTTTTGGTATAACGTGATAGTACAAAACACAGTGCAGAAATGTCAGGTCAATAGTGAGTAAGTATGTAATGGTTGAATAGTAAAAACAAAAAAAAGATTTACAGTCACCTGCAAACACATAAAAAAACTTCAAAAACTGTAAAACAACACCACCGTGAAAGCCATCCTAGAAATTGTGTATTGTACAATAACCAAGCTTTTTGCTGCCATGCTTTATGAATCAGGGGTAATACACTAGACGTAGTATTTCTATATTGAGCTTGGTCACCAAGGCGGGGCCCTGTAGTCCTGTTGGCTCCATCTCTGTCGCCCGTGGGACCTGTTCTAAAAATAGCTAAAACAGACATCTCCAGCACTGCTCTTTGCCCTCAGCAACACTCTCAGTGACGGCGTTTGCACCAGATGTGACTCTCAAGGTCGACATACACAAATTCAACGGTTGGACGTCAGGAGCTGTTGGGACTTGCCAGGCCGTGCTGGGACCTGTCCGGAGATTTTCAGCATCTCCGGACAGGCACACAGTGGGACAATGCTGTGCATTGGTCTGTGCTAACTGCGATGGTGACGTGTGTGGGGGCAGAGGGTGTGGGGGGGGGGGGTTCTGGGGTGTGTCCCGAGGCAGCAGAGGCGCAGCTTTGCGAGTGTGTGCTCCATGGAGGAGGAGCCGCTGATGCTGACCCTGAGGGCATGTGGTGCCGTCCTCAAAGACCATAGTTTACCTTTCTATTTATTCTATGTATTTTGACTGTGTAACTGCGTGGTCTAGTCAGAGTGAGCAGTTGTTGGAGCGCTCATCTGCTGGTGTAACGAGGCTGTTAGCTTCATGGTAACTTTTATGAGTTTCCCTCTTTTCTTTCATATTCATGCACAATGTGTAATTAATAGTGCTGCAAGCATATAGTAGCCCTCATGCTATTTGGTAATCTTATGGTAGCCCACAGCTTCATAAAGGTTGACCCTTGAAACAGAGTTGGAGTGTAACATATACTATTTCACGAACGTACTATTTCACAAACATACTATTTCACAAACATACTATTTCACAAGCATACTATTTCACAAACATACTATTTCACGAACGTACTATTTCACGAACATAAATGACTGCCTCTTTTCATGAGTAGTTTTCTTGACATTCACCCCATTCACCTCTGTGCGCAGTTTCCTCAGAACGGCAAGGGACTCAAAGTAGAGGAAGTCGGCCCACTCAATGTGGCCCTTCTTGTTAGGGTCCAGAGCTGAGAACTGAGCCAGGACCTCCTCCTCCTGCTCATCCGTCAGGTCTTTGTCAAACTGCTGCTTGGAGACGAAGTGACGATACTGCAGCAGCTCATCTGACACCAGGCACGACTCTGGGAGCAGGAAGACAGGAGGAGCAAGAGGGACAAGAGTGAAGACAAGAAGGAAGGCAAGAGTGAAGAGCAGGAGCAACAAGAGAGAAGACAAGAGTGAAAAGCAAGAGGAATAGGAGTGAAGGCAGGAGAACATTACTGACCCTCTATTCAATGTTAAAAACTATCTTTTAACAAGAGTTGTAGTTTATCCTCCTAAAGGTAAAGCTGCACTGCTCTAGAAGCCACAGCTGCTTTCAGTCACTTGCACATTCATGGTGAGCGGCTCAGCCCTGCGGGGTACTAGCTGCACTACCGTGTTTTGTTGCGGGCATAATTCTGGATTCAGTACATATAAAGTACAACTTGGAAACATGGATTTGTTTAATATAATCAATAATGATATAAAAATGCATGTTGTGATCTGTTCTCTACACACTGAAGAGGTGCGTGCCAATCAGGTTATGTCCAACCTACCAAAGTTTAAATAAACAAATCAATCGTGAGATCATTTCATAATCACATTCAATTAGTTGCAACAAAAACATAACAACATTCATTATAGCAATCAATATTTGATGACGCATGCTTGTGTCTGACCTGGGATGATCTTGCACTGATTGAAGGTCTCCATGAGGCTGTACATCTCCTCCTCTGTCAGCAGCAGATTAAGATTATCCTATGAGAAAAATGTAAAAACATATATTCAATAAACTACACAAATTGCACATATATGAGAGTGGTTCATCCGCCAGTAGATAATTACATGCAGAAATTCCCAGATGAGCCGATTGCAATTAACAAGAGCTAATTTGCTTGCAGCCAGTGTTGAGCAAGACGAAGAGTGGAATATTTTAGAAGTTGAATGACTCTAATCTGCAGTTGCTTTGTGAAAAGAATGAATGCTTGTAGATTGTAAGAGCTACATTTCATTCACACATTAGTTTCTTGTCTTTTTCCCATTGATCCATAATTGCATGGTTAGTGTGTTATGTTATGCCATATTTTTAGACGTTGAGTTGCTCATCAAAAACAAAGGGGATCTGTGTTGTGGTTGTGATTTCTGGTTGTGTTAAAGCTGGGCTACAACAAAATAATACAATAATTTACAGTAATACAATGCATGTAGTTAAGTTACTGTTTCGATCTTACTGCTCACCTCTGTACACAGAACATTTGTGGGTCAATTAGAACTTACAGTGGCTTACAATGATGCGTTGATAATGTTATTAAAAAAGCCCCGATGGACAAGAGTCAGTGAACTCTTTGTGTCAAATAGAGTAAACACTTTGCAAGCTTTTAGAGAAATTTGATGTTTAAGTTTATATGTCGTCTAAACAATTCAAAAAATGCTGTGATTATTTTATTGTCCAGTGTTGTGTGTAGGGGTGGGAACCTCAGGGTACCTCACGATACGATACGCGATACAAAGCTCACAATAACGATTTTATCACGATATGACGATTATCAATACATTGGTCAGAAATATACTCTTTTAGTAAAGCAATCTGAATAAACACAAAATAGTTATAATTAAGTAATTATTATATAAAAAATAAGTTTTTAAATAATTCTCAACCCTGGATTCAAATTCAGCACATATTGGCATAAATAAAAGAAAAATGTGAAGTGAAAAAATACACTTTATTTCATGATATATGGAATGGAGATGCGTAATGTAGCCATATATTAAGTATTGATACTAATAAAAATATATATATATATATTAAATCGATACTTGGCAAAAGAATATCGATAATCGATCACATGAGAAAGTATCACGATACGTCACTATATCGATATATCGTCACACTCCTAGTTGTGTGCAGCGCGGTACGTTACACACTTTGGAAACATTGTATGACTACCGCTTGAAAGTTTAGAGGTATTTATTGTCTGTTGTTTATTTTTTATTTTTCTCTTGTCTGTTGATCTGGACCTTGAGTCTGCAAATAAAGTTTTCTATCTATCTATCTATCTATTGGCCTCTGTCATATCTTTAGATCGTATTTTTTACCCATAAAAGCAACAAAAAGTAATACAATGACGACAGCATGCTGTGGTTTGATTTGTTTTCAATTTACTTTTACAAGATTCTGTTGGAACCATAGAATGTATATAACTGGACAATGTTAAGCTTCTAGCTCAATGAAGCCCAATAGGGAAGCGCTCATGGAAGAAGTTTTGCTCCAACTCGCTGTGGCTTGACTTTTTAATGGTTTTAACGCTCTCTATAGCCCAGTTTATTTTTATAATGACTTTGTTAATCCAGATTTAGCAACCATGTTAGCAACATATCTGTCCCTGTTATGGCTCAAAGCTAACCTTGTCGGTGTTGGAACATGTATAAATGGAAACCCATAAACTGAGACTGGCTCCAGCTAGCTTTTTTTTCAAAACGGCTTCTTCCGCATTTGACAGAGGCCATAGAAGCATGATTAGAGGATTGGTTAAATCAGAGGACAAACTTCCCTACGGAGGCAATAAAGTAAAGTATACCTTAATCTTTCAAGTTGCATAGTGCCCCATTACAGACTGTATTTTTGCATCGCATGTGCATTTCTCGATTTGGCTGACGTTGATTGAATGCTTTTTGGAGATGGAAAAAAGGATTATCGGTTTCAGTCAATCAAGATTAATGTGATGTGTTTTTGCAGCATAACAATGTTTGACCATTTGGAACAAAAACGCAAATATGGCTCAAATATTGTATCTTCTGGATATTTTTAACACAGTAGAAGTGCTACAAAATACACCGTGTGTCGTTCCCGTTCACCAGAGCTTGGATGCTTTTCACATGCTCCCTGCGATACAATGAGTCGTGGTGTTTTATCTACAATTTCTCTCTCTCTCGCTCATAATTGAAATGTTGTTCTGTAATTCAACTTACAATGTGAAACTAATATGAGACTCATTACCCACAGCGCGATCTATCAAGCTATTATTTCTTTTAATCAAAAACTAAAAAATAGCCTGTAAGCCATAATCATTCAAATGAAAAACACCACTAATCAGAAATAGATAAATAAATGAACTAAGTTGAAATAGAGAAAGAAATGAACTTGGAACAACCTCTATTTTGCTTCTCTTCTTTATCCCTGTGTGCCACCTTTTGGATTTGCGCTGCAGGAGCTGTCCTGAGGCTGGAGGTGACCGCTCAGATCAACTGTCTCCAAACTCTCACCAGGATTTGAACAGAATCTGAGATACATGCTGAGCACAGGGAATCTGACCACACTGTGTCTAAACGCTTTTATTCTTGAAACGTCAACACAATCGACATTAGTGTTGTCGCAATTCTACAATTCAAACATTAAGATACTGTGAAAAATATTCAATAGTAAATACCAATTTCAAATCAAACTGCACATCTTCTGCTGTCTGTAAGATGTGCAGTTTTTGGTATGGATTTATGGACTTTATGGACCAATCGGGTGTGACCAGAGTGACATCACGACTTGTAAACATATTCATTGGTAAGTTTGTGTAAGCTCTCAGTCGTTCAGGGATAAGTAAAAGCAAAGGAAGGTTTCTCACCCATCATCTGTACTTCATAGGCAACCCAATACTTTTAATTCTACTAAGAAGACAAGATGAATCTTCCTAAACTATAGTGTTATGTCCTCATATACCTGGTTTAAGTTCTTGTAGGTTTAAACATTTGTTTTAGGTTTCTTCATAAACTGCTTCCTGATGGGGGCAAAAGTGTTCATCCCACCAAAGAACATTTGAAAACAACTTCACCAAGATTACTGCTACAGTTACGTTTGCAATGGCCCAGGAAAAAATACATTAAGATTGTATTACTCACACTTTATTAGCAATCACACGAATCATAGTTCCTGTAATAGATATGCTTGGAGTGCGATGATTTACAAGCACTTATTGCAATTAGAGCCAAATTGCTGAAAGATAGAGACCTCTGAAATGCTGCTTGTGGGAGTGGCCTTTACATAGTAAAATTATTTATCGGTCAAAACAAGGTCACTGTTGTCTGTTTCCTTGAAAAAACCCATAATATGCACAGCTTTTATTACAGGCTGGCATTGTGCAAGCCGAGTACAGATTTGAACATACTTGGTTTCCTTAAAACTGCTAACAAATGTATCATTCCAATACTAGAAACCGCGACAAGCATCTAAGCATGCTTAATGAATATACAAATCATATCAACGCAATTATATAGAATTGATTGACACTTTTAATTTAATTAAATATTGCACCAGTTAAAGGGACATTATTTAATTATGTCATTTTTAATTACTTCTACATGTCTCTTGATCAGTGGTGGGCAAATCTCGGCCCGTGGGCCAGATGCCAGATGTCTGGCCCCTGACAAAAGACTGGTATTCCAATGTGGCCCTCAGGAGGTAAAGTTTGCCCATGCCTGCTCTCGATTCTAGGTCAACATCTACCTATAGTAGTTGACATTTATCGAACAAAAGTTTAAAGTGGCGTTATTCTTCATCTGTTTCTGAGATCGCATGAAAGCAACATAATGTGCCACAGGCAGGAGTATTCTAGCAACAAAAAGGATTGGATTGTAATTGTAATGACATTTTTTTTCAAAGAGTGCATATTACATTCTACAAATGTTGCAGGTTCTTGTTTGTCTGATAAAAAAGTCTTAAAAAAACCAAGTAAAACTGAAATGGAGGAGTTTATACTTTCTAACAACACAGAAGAATTTCCAAAAACAAAAGCTGTCAAAGACCTACAGTCTGTAACAACATTGAATCACAGCCAAAAAGTGCTGCCAGCTCTAAATATAGACGGCAAAACACAGAATGTGAGAAAGAGGGGGAGGAAAGGGGGATTAGAAACGTAGTCTCAAAAATGAAATAACTTCAACTACTGCTAAAATGTGAATAAATTATGTAAATGTATATAATTCACTAAAAAATGCTTTGGAAGAAGACTTACTTTACATTTTATTACACAGCCATGGAGGACAATGCATAAAATTAAATCCAATTTAAGTTGCCGACAGTGTGTAAATGACTTATAGCAGACTTGCGCTGTCTCTATCTAGAGCTGATCAAAAGATGTGACAAAGGCCAAAAATACATACAAAACTCATCATAGAACTGTTTTGAGATCAAGTAGGATTGATTTTGAATGAAAAAACAGTTTAAAGTTGTGCTATTATACAATGAAAAACCAATGAACACAATGTCCATAATACAGTAAGTATTGAAAGCAAGATGAGGCCTTCGTTTCTGGTTGCAAGTTTATTAAATTAAATTAATCTGGTTTACGCATACTTTTTTAATTACAACAATAAATATTCATATGTAATACACAGAAAACTGACTTATTGTTTATTTCTCATAATAATAAATAACAACATTGCCACTATTAAGCATCTTGGTCTGACTCTTGATGCAAAACATAATTCAAAACGTTCTCCCCTCCCTAAAGATACTGTAGCAGTGGCTCTAACCCACTAAACATCCGACGTCCACTCAACCTCCAGATCACGTCAATATCGCGTCGGTCGGTCGTGACCTTTTATTTACGTCCAAACGACGTCTGTGCAAGGTGCGCATCTGAACGTAAAACAATGACCTCCCATATACGTGGATATGACGTTCAATCCCGACCTCCCCTAGACGTCGAAAACAGGTCATCGGCCGACCGACGCGGTACGTCTTGATCTAGCAATACAATATATAGGCT